GGCCAGAAGTCCGGGCCAGAGGCATGCGCAGCGGGCACTGCTTATGCTGTGTGCTCCTGGGGACTCCACACACGGCCGGCCCAGTGGCTGGGTGCATTTCTTCCCCGCGCATCAACTCGGCAATGACTTGCGAATCCCCTTACCTACTCTACTAACTAAACACCAGGCTGCACGCTGCATGCTGGGGGTAGGCACTTGCCCACGACAAGATCCCTTCCCTGAAGGATTCTTCAGATTACTCCGGAAGACACATTGTCCAACAAATAATTATAATGCCAAGTGCAAATGCCACTACAGAGCCACGAATGAAGTGCTACGGGAGAGTGGGCTCTCAGAGAAGACTTGGACTTTGAAGGTCAAAGTTTAAGCCGGGAGGGGATGTGGAGAACCCAGTGTGCCTGTGTGTGTGTGGGTGGGTCCGAGTGGGTCCGTGCTCAGCCTGTGCCCTCCTGGGGCTCATGTTTGCGTCTGTACGTAGGTGTGAGAGTGTGTAAAAGTGTGCTGTCTGGACCTCTCTGTGTCTGGAATCCCTGCTCCTGAACACACACTGTGGTTTTATTACAGATCAATGTTTGCTGCGAAGCTCTCGTGCAGATTAGCCCGAACCTGCCCAGCCCAGGGGAGGGGAAGCAGGGAACCAACGTTGGCTCTTTGGGAAGGGGTGGGCAGACACCGTCTTCACACTTGGGGGCCCAGACGCTTGGCTCCCCAGTTGGCGGCGGGCTGGCCAAGGGAGGCCAAGGGCTGGGGCCCCGGCTGTGGTGGGGTGTGCCCAAGCTGTAGTGCCCTCTGTCCCCGGCTCCCCAGGGGAGACACAGAGGCTGCAACCACCACTCCCCATGAGACCTCGGGCCCCCTCCCCCAACCTGTTCTGTCTGTGGAGGAGAGGCCAGCTCAGACCTGCCTGCTGGCTCTCTCCTGCAGGGAGCGGATGTTTTCCAGGGGACTCCAGAGGGCTGGGAATGCTGGAGCCTACCAGGAGGCCTGCTACCCCACCCTGCCCCTCTGAGGTGCTCTGCAGCCTGGGTTCCCCCCACCCACCCTGGGGCACCACTTCCCCAGCTCTTGCCCAGGCACAGCCATCCACACCAGGGATGCCCCTGGCCACCAGGCAGAAGGTGGGGGCTAGAGTTCGGACAATGAGGCCGGGGTCGTGGGGCAGGGGGCACTGTGAGGCCGCTCAGAGACCCCACCCCAACCCCCTCTGTCTCCTTGCAGCCACCTGCTAGAAAGCTAATTTTGGTGGCAGGAAAGAGAATAGAGTCTGGATCGAGGGAAGGTTTTAGGGGTTAAGAGGCTTTGCGGCCTGAGAAGGTCAAGGACCCCTCCTTCTATACTGCCAAGGATGGGGACTTTCCGTTTTTTGGCTGAAACTTCCCCTCCCCCGGATTCCATCTAATTGTTTCCTGCCCCCCGGTCCACTCCCCAAGCCCTGGGCCAGCTCTGCCACTGTGACAGCTTTGAGAGAAGCTTGGAGAGCAGGAGAACAAACGGAACAGGGAGTCTGGGGCTAGTCTCTCAGGAGAGAATGCCTTAATACGAATGGTGATGAGTGATGAGGGGCACCCGGCTGCCTCTGTCAGTGGAGGTGGAGCCTATGACTCTTGATCTCTGGGTTATGAGTTCGAGCCCCATGTTGGATGTGCAGATTACTTAAAACATTTTAGGGGCACCTGGGTGGCTCAGTCGGTTGGGTGTCCAACTCTTGATTTTGGCTCAGGTCATGATCTCACAGTTCTCGACGTGGAGCCCCACGTCGGGCTCTGTGCTGACAGCACGGAGACTGCGTGGGATTCTCTCTCTCCCTCTCTCCCGGCCCCTCCTCCACTTGCTGGCACGCGCATGCTCTCTAATAAATACATAAATAAATTTTAAAATATTGAAAATAAAATATTCTTATTTATATATTTTTTTTCAACGTTTATTTATTTTTGGGACAGAGA